GTGGGGGGGGCGGGGTTGTTGTGCGGCCCAGGTGAACGGGAGTGAGAATGATATCGGGATAGGGTAGTGGGGGGTGGAGGGAAGACAACACTGGTTGAATGTGTTGGGGCCTGTGGGATGGAGCGTTTGGCAGAGTCTGGACTATCACTTTTATGCTTGATCCATATTTGTTCTTCCAGACCTTTAAACATGTTTTGAACCACCAAGGATGTACTGCACTTCAGACCTGAAGCCACAAACATGCTTCAGAGTGCCAAGCTGCATCTTTTCCTGGGCTCACATCATAGCTGTGCAATCCCAGAAAAATACGCGTTTATGTTGAGGAGGAGCCAGAAGGGTTTAGCAAGGTACTGTGTGACCCCAGGAAAAGGCACCATTTTTTAAGGAGGCCCCCAGAGCTGTGGTCTGTGCCCCTCCACACCCTCTGGAGGCCTTTTCGGCTTGAGATCCAAAGCATAGCGCAGCCCTGTTTTTAGTCATAATGGAAAACATTTACACTGGGGTTTTGAGACACTGTACTTTCATATTGGAGGAAGAGGAGGAGGACTTGGATACCCCAAAGAACAGTGTTATTAGTTAATCTGTATAGACGTTATATCTAAATATAGACTGAATAAATAGACATGGTCCTATTACCCTCCCAACAATGTTCTTTCTGTGCAACCCATAATTGAGACTCCTGTTCCTTCTAGCTTTCCTGTGGAACAAAACTCCATCTCCTACCAAAATGCCGTGCCTGCTTAGCAGTCAGGACAAAATATCCCAATGAAGTATGTTTAGTGCCTGTGATATCAGCCTTGGAAGTCACCCTTCTGACTTGGGCTTAGAGGTCTGCTCTCTGCCCTCCGCTGCAATCACCTCTCCAGTGCTGTGCCTCCTCCTCTCTTCCTCCTCCTCTGTTGCCCTTCCTTCTGCCACCTGCGCACCTGTTTTCCAGCTGAGATCTGTATATGTTGGAGCAGGTCTTCACACAGAGCCGGCGCTGGAAGGACCACGCAGACATGCTGAAGCAGTATGCCACTTGTCTCAGTCATTTGTTGCGTAATTACAATGTTTCGGAACCAGAGATCTACTTTGACGTTTGGGTCTCCATCAATGATCGTTTCCAGCAAAGGTTAGTGAGGCAGCCGATGGTTGTACATATCTGCAAACTACACCAATTATTACACTGATTAATTTTAAAAAATGGCCAGCCTGATTTAGTTCCAGAATCTTCAACAAATGTTGCTTTCAAGCAAAGTGCTGTCTTTGGAATTTGTCATGCAGAAGTTTAATGTAGCCAACAGCAAAATTGGGATTACTGAAAAAGGGGCCCTCACCTGGGGAGATTATGGGAAGAGGTTGGAGCTGGCTAGAGATGGGGACATTGCTTCTCATCGGGAAGCATTCAGTCCTAGCAGGGAACAGAGATGGAATCTTGGATAACTTTTAAAACAAAGGCCAGTTGGCACACCTAGTATATATTGGCATAATCCCTGGTTTCTAAAGAATGGATTCGAAATCTATTCAGGAAAATGTTATGTGGAAATATGGTAGCTGTATGGGATCATACAGACAAACAAGCAGGTGGACTGATTCTTCCTACTGATCCCACTGGACCATGGGTCGGTTCCTTCTGCATTTAATATCTTTACATTCATCTTTTCCCCAGACTCTTTGATCCAAACATGGATATTGTACAGGCTCATTGGTCCCCCTTCCAGAAGACGCCATGGCTGAAGCCTCTCCTGATTGACTTGTCACCCTGGCGGACAAAACTGATGGAGATTGAAAGCTCGCTGGACAATCAGACCGAGGTTGTCTTCATTGCAGATTTCCCAGGTACCCGGTTGCTGTTGTGTTCTCTTAGATCTGGATCTTTGTTTTGAGCCAAGTCCAGATGGTGGATGTTGCTTTGGGGCTTGAATAGGAAGGCTTTCAGCTGAATCCTTGGGGTGGAAACAGAACTCTGAAGCTAGGACCTCAGGTGAAGACCTGTGTCCTGAGAAAGTGTGGGTGCTGCTGAAATGGAGCCTCTTAACCCATTCAGAGAGAAGTCAGAAAGAAGATTGGCTCATAAGATTCCTGGCCTTCATTCATGGTCTGTATTCAGAATATGGGAAACAAGCCATATGAGATTAGAGCAGTATGATTTAATAGGTTAAATATCTATTTATTAATTTATTTTAAATTATATAAATATTAATTTAATAATAAAATTTAACAGATTAATGGAGATGACTCCCATGATTGAAATACAGCAATTAAAGGGTGAAATGTGTTCAAAAGGAACAGAAGCAATAGAAAGGGAGGAAGAATTGCATTATTTGTTTACGAAGAAGAAGAAGAAGATGATGATGATGACAATGAGTATCTTATTATAGTCAGTGACCATATTTAAACATAGTTCCATGGCAAGGGTTACAGAGCTTGGGAAAAGAAAGGTTCTAGGCAAGTTACACAGAATAATAGAAAGTGGGCTATTTTTTTTTTTTTTGTGGGCTAAAACGTTAAAGTTAATTCATTTCTATTCAGAAATCCAAATGAATGAACTTCACCTCAGATACTATGCCCAGTTCTACTCCTTTAAGAAGAATTCAGAGAACCAGAAAAGCAAGTTCAGTGAAAGAAAGAGAAGATGATCAGGGAACTAGGAAGCAAGACATAGGAACAAAGATTGAAGGAGCTGAGTATGCTTTGCCCTGAACAAGATGGCTGGGGGAACAGGAGACCTGTTCTCTTCTTTTTCCAGAGCGCAGGACACCCAGAACAATAGGTTTAGGTTACAGGAAGGTAGACCCCAATTTAATGTTTTAGAAAAAAACTTCCCAATAGTAAGAACATTGAACCAATTTTCTGAAGAATGAGTGGGCTCCCCTTCCCTAGATGTGTTCAAGCACAGGCTGGACTGCCATCTGTCCAGGATACTTTACTTTGGATTCCTACCCTGAGCTGGGGGTTGGCTCCATCCTTCTTATGTGTCTCTGAATTGACCTTGGGTAGTAAGGTGAGTCTCTATCATGCTGCACATATTTCCCTCATTGATTTCTGGTGTCAGCCAGCCACAATGAGGATTATTGCCTCGTTAGACTGGGGGAGCTACTGGGAAAGAGCTGTGGGCCTGAGTGCTCCTGTGGGTTTTGCTGCATACTTTTGCTTGCCCACCCCCATGGCAGGGCTGCACCTGGAGAACTTTGTGAGTGAGGACCTTGGCAACACCAGTCTCCATTTGCTGAAAGGGGAAGTCATCGTGGAGATTGTCAGTGTGCAGAAGAACTATACGCTGCAGGAGGGAGACCAGATCCAGGTGAGGGCCAGGCTGAGTGCTTGTGTGGGGACAGCAGCTGATGCACTGACCAAAAGAATGTGTGGCTTCCCTGTCCCGCCCAGTGAAAGAGCCTCAGAAGCTGGACCACTGTGGGGAAGAAACACTGGCCCGCCAAGACTCTGTATGTATGCATGCATGCATGTACCATAGAGCCATACCTTTGTGTATATATATAGGTGGATCTACTGTTTGCACACATCCATATACAGACACTTGTACAGCTAGCTACATCCCCTGATGTGACCCAGCCTGTCCACTGTTGCCAGTCTGGGTCTGGTTGTTCTGTGCGTCTTCAGATGCCAATTCCTCTCCCAGGTTGGGTTGTTTGGGAAGGCATGTTACTCGCCACCACTGGAAATGGCCTAGATACTATACCATGTTCCCCTGGGCCCTTTGGAGGGGAGGTCTCTCCTCGTGGCTTTTTCCCAGCTGCCTTTGGCTGCCCAGAGCCTTTGCCATCTTCTCTTGGTCACAGCTGCCAGCCGGGGAGTACCACAAGGTCTTCACGGTCTCTCAGGAGCCGTCCTGTTACATGTATCTCTATGTCAACACGACAGAAGCGGCCCTTCAGCAGAATTTCACTCGACTTCAGGAGTTGCGGGAGAAAGTTCAGAATGGGACTGGTAAGCCTGCGAACCAGCTGGTGCTCAGACAGGCCCTCAGCTGCATCACCAGCTCCAGAACAGCAGCCTGCTTTGTAGCTTTCCTTTCTCTGTGCTTGCCTGATTTCCAGAGGGCCTTTCATCTCCTAAAACCCATCTTTGCCCCTTCCCTGTTTGCAGAAACGGAACCTCTCCCCCCAGAGTTGCAGCCCATCTTGGATGATTCTCTGGACAACGTGACCCAGACAGACCCAGTCGTTGTGGCTTTCCTCCACCGCCGCCGGCACATGGAGGAGCTGCAAAGGAGGCGCAACGCCACTTTGCCCGAGCGGTTCCAGCGTTTCTTGAGCAAGAAATACTTCATTTTCCGCAGGAGGTGAGAGACGAGCCTTTTTTCTGGGATCCTGCAGGGTGCTTCCTGCATTCTCCTAATAGCCGATGTCCTGTGGCTGTTCAGGCTTGGCTTTCCAAATCTTTTTAAGTCCATGAGATTGAACAGCTGCTGGTACCTCACTCCCCTTGCCTGATCTCAAAAACACTGTCAAACGTGATTAGTTCTTGGATGGAAGATCATCAGGAAATCCTGTAGTTCTAGTGAAAAAAGTCTCCCAGGAGAACGTCTCTTATCCTTGCTAATCAGATGGATAAGACATGAAGGCCCCAGAGTTGAGCTTGACTCGAAGCAGACTTTTGTTTTACCGGCCACTATGCTCTCTCAAATCAGCTCAGTTTGGACTGTGTGTGTGTGCACCCTCCTCACAGCTTCTCCCTGGTCTTGCCCACAGCCTTCTGATGACCTGTATCTCCCTGCGGAACTTGGTCCTGGGCCGCCCCTCCCTCGCTCAGCTGGCCCAGGAGGTGGCCTATGCCAACATGCAACAAGGTGGCCAACAGGAGATGGCACCGCGTGGGCCAGAGCGCTCAGACCTCTGAGAATCATCGCTACCTCAGCTACCACATCACCACTACTAGCAGGAAGGTCTTATTGTGGGCCAAATCCAGAGGGATGTAGCCAGCACCTAAGGAGCCACTCTGTGTTGTATGGCAGGCATTGACATGGCCAACCATCTGAACTGGAGGCAGAGCCCATTCCTCTTCCAGATTCCCTCTTTCTGGGAGTCAGGGAGTGGGCCCTGAGCCACCATGGTCCTCTCCTGCCCTAGAGGGCTTGAGTAGGCCTTGCAGAAAATGCTGCAGGAAGGGAGGGGGAGTGCAGATTTCTTGGACTCAGCTGGCCAGCACAGTTGTGATCTCTATCTGATGGAAGGAGGGCTTGGGCAGACAGTGGCTGGGAGGAAATCAGAGACCTTCACTCTTTAAAACAGTGGCTTTTCTTTGGTGGGCATTCCATGGCCTCTTGATCCCAGCAGATCCCAGTCTTGGCCCCACTGTGCAGCTGAGCGGAAGGATTTGGGCAGAGGGGGTGCTTTTTAGATCACTCTGGCTGTTCCTTTATTAGGACTAATTTAGCAAGTCAACAAGGTTTCAGTTTTTTGCTGCAGAGTGGTCAGTTAAGCAGCTTGTGGGGTGGGGGAGAAAGGAATGTATGAATCCAGCCAGGGACAAAAAAAGCAGGCTTGGCTGGGCAAGTCCTAATAGCTTCTCTGCTCCTCGGTGGATTTTAGAATTTCCTCTCTGCTTTCTGAGATTTCTGTTTGGCTGCAGATGCTGAACCAAGGATCTTTTCTAAGGTCATGAGACATCTCTCCCAGTCTTGGTCCCTATCCCATAATATTCCATAACTGAGATCAGGCCTAGCAACACAAGCTCATAGGTATCCCCAGCTTCTTTGAGAGCCTTACGAGGAGAAGGGCTGGCTACATCCCGTGTGATTAAGACAAGAAGGGCCTCATTTTTTAAAATTAAAAATTATATTGCACAAAAATCAGTGTGTTCTTGATACCTAAAATCTGCAAATCAGTATATCTGTCATTGGTTGATCCTTCAGGTGGCAGGAAATCATCGGCTATCAGGACGTGTTTCTCTGGTGGCTGCTGCTTTCCCTTTGTCTTCTCTCCCTCCATTCATGCCTCTCGGCAACATTGGTTCTTCTCTGTGGATAGAAGTATCTGGATCACACCTTTAAGGACGCTGCTCTTACCATCTAGCCACTGGCCACATCTCTCCCATAAAGCTAGAAGGCAGGGCATCCGAGGAAGCTGTGGCCAGGTAGGAAATGCTCCTGTGCCAGGCATCAGTGGGACTCCCTGTCATTTGAAATGAAACCCCCGGCTCAAGGGGCTTGATATATTCCTGGAGGAGGAGAGAATAAAGATATATTGCCAACTCTGACAGTTTTGTGTAAATCTTTGCCACTGAATATTAACAGAGCTTCATGTGGGCCTTAGTGAGGGGTGTGGGAGTGAACAGTGGCACCTGGTTTGGTGCCTGCTCCATTTCTTTCATAAAGTCGTCCAGTATGTAATACGTCAGTGTAAAAATACTTGTCCCTTAGATGTGATATTTGATTACAGTCCTTTAACTGCAACTGGCTACTTTCTGTATTTGGAGGTCAGTATCTCACATTGTTGTGTTGGAATGTGGACCCATTCTTCCAATCTTCAGTGTTGCAATGTGGACCCATTCCTCCACAACTTCAACAGTTGAGAGCTTTCTAGAATGAACTCCTTTCAGGTCCTGTCAAAACAGTTGTGTACAGTTTAGTTCTGGACTTTGACTTGGTTGTTCTAAAACGTTGGATTATTTGTTTTTCATTTTCTTGCAGACTTGCTTGGAATTCTCTTGCACATCAGCTGACTGATGGCCTGATATTTTCCTGTAGAATTCTCTTGATTACAAGGCAGATTCATACTGCCTTTAATGATGGCAAGTCATCCATGCCCTGAGGCAGCAAAGCACTCCCCAATACATGATACTAACACCTCCTTGCTCAGTAGGTGGTATAACTATCAGGTTGACTCATCTGTCCATAGAACATTCTTCCAGAAGTCATCCAGGTGCTTTTTGAGACAAGCGTCAGTGTCCCTAACGATGGCTTTTGTTGTGCTGCTCTCCCATGAATCGTGTGCTTTTCTGTGTGTGGAGACATGAACCTCTGGAGGTTGATCAAGGTTCCTTTGAGCCTCCCGGGCACTGCGGAATGGTTTTGACAGGACAGCCACTCTGGGAAAGATTCATTACTGTCCCAAGTCTTCATTTCAAGATTATGCTGCTGATTGTGGATTGGAGGAGCCCCAGAGCTTTAGAAATGTTTCTGTGACCTTTTCCAGACTCACAAAGGTCTTCAGCAATTTCTTTTGAGTGGGGCATGGCACTATGCAGTGAGGACTTCCCAATGGTAAGGGAGCCAAAATTGTGAGATTTATATAAGGCAGGGCTGGTCCAAATTAGATCTGATTGTTTAATGACATAGATTGTTACTCCTTTAACTACTTGAACTAAGGAAGAGTTACTTTTTCATACCGGCACATTGTATATTAGATGACTTTGAAACAAGCACCAAAGTTTGGTACTTGTCACTCAGACAACTCTTTGTATATCATGTAGGACTTGCATGAAGCTCCAAAAACATTCAATGGAAAAGAAACACATTTAGAAAAAACTGAAAAAAGGCAAATATTTTTTCACAGAATTGTAGTTTTGCCACTGCTGGAGAAAGTTTGCCCACAAGTTTAACCATATGACAAACTGGGATCTAAATTCTGAATCTTGCGGGTCTCCTTATACAGGTGAAACTCGAAAAATTAGAATATCATGCAAATGTTCATTTATGTCAGTAAGG